TGCTGCCAGGACATCCTCCCCCCAACTTCCCCCACCTTGACCTCTTGCGCCCATGACACCCTTTGACCTCAGATCTCGGCCACCGCCGCACCCTTTGACCTTGCACCCTGTGACACTTTTTTGCCCTTGGACCTCACACCCTTTCCCTTTGACCTTGCGTGGCATGACACCCGTTGACCTCTGACCTCGCAGGCCCATGACACCTCCTAACCTCGCTCCCCTTGACACCTGTTGACCTTGTGCGCCTTGACACCTTTTGACCTCGCGTGCCATGGGAGCCGCCCACGCCCTTTGACCTTGCACACCTTGACCCTCCTTGGCCTCCCACACATTGACGCGCGCCCTTTGGCCTCGAGTGCCACGGCACCCTTTGACCTCTGACCTCACGCACTGGAACGTCTTTGCCCTTGGCCTCTTGCCGCCCCCCGTGGCATTGACATTTGACCCTGATGGCAGAGACTTACTGGAAGTTGCTGGGGGCACCAATATCTGCCTTGGTCATCTTTTTCTTGCCTTTGCCCTTGTCTTTGCCCTTCTTCTTCTCGACGGGAGCAGGAGAGGGCAAGCCCCGATACCGGAATGATGTGATGTCCGGATTGGGAATGGCCATGGCAGACATCGGAAGCGATCCGCTCGGCTGCGGGAATCCAGGTCCTGGAAGGATGGAGTGGGTGGCGGAGCAAAACAGAGATGGAAGAGGGAGAGCAATCAAACACACGGCTAGCAGGAGCCATCACCCAATCCCGGGGAGCCGTCGTTCGCTCAACGCACCCGGGAACCCAAACCGGAACGCCCGATCCGGCTAGGAGATGCCGGCCCCTGTGGCTCGCTGCACATTCCTCCCCCTCACTTATACCCTGGAACCAGAGGGTGGGGGGAGACGGATCGAGGGGGAACGGGATAAGGAACCAGAGGGGGAGACGGATCGAGAGGAATTTTTTTTCACCTGAGCTGTTCTGATCTGGATCGAGCTGCCCGAAAGGATGCAGATTATATCGGAACTTTCCAAAAAAAGAGGGGTATCAGAGAAATACCCAAAGGGCAAAGATTCAGAGGGCTGTTGGATAGCGGTGGAAAGAGAGGAGAACTGAACGCTCCTTTAAAGACACCACCGTGAGCAGAGCAGCCTCCTCCTCCTGTGTTGGTGGATTCTCGGTACGACAGACTCACCCTTTGCTTCCGTTTCTCAGCCTCTCGATGGGCTCGCTCCTTAAAAACAGCAACGTTTGGTATTCCGGGATCTTTCTTCAACTGCTTCTGTCCTTGGCCCTTCAGGAATGGTAGAGAGAGAGAGAGAGAAACAAAGAAATAGAGAAAAACAGTGAACAGATTTGCCAGGTATGTGGTTAACCACCATGAGCCACTGCACATCAATGAATTCCAGCCCTCCCCCAACTATCAGCATCCTGGGGGTTACCATCTCCAACTAGAGAGAATCTAATCATCGCCCCCTTGACGTTCAATGGCGTTACCATTACTGAATCCAGCACCCCACCCCTCCACCGTCACTATCAACATCCTGGGGGTTCCCATTGATCAGAAACTGAGCTGGGACCCAGCCCCATATCAATACAGCGGCTACAAGAGCAGGTCAGAGGCTGGGAATCCTGCAGGGAGTAACTCCCTCCCCCCCAAAACCTGTCCCACCATCGACAAGGCACAAGGCAGTAGGGGGAGGGAACACTCCTCACTTGCCCTTGGAAAGGGGCAGCTCCGACAGCACTCGAGAAACTCGACACAGTCCAGGGCAAAGCAGCCACCACCCAACCCCCCTCCATCTGATCGACACGCTAACCCCCACCTTCAACACGTCCTTCCCTCCACCACTGCCGACGTAGCTGGGCGCATTAGGAATGCTCGGCTGAGCTCCAACAGCCCCCCCACCCCACACTGACACACTGCAGCAGCGTGTACCGTCTACAAGACACACCGCAGCGACTCGCTGGAACTCCTCCGACAGCACCTTCCAAACCCGCCCACCTCTACACCTCTGGAAGGACGAGGGGGCAGCAGACACAGGGGGGAAAGCACCAGCCCCTGCAAGTTCCCCCCCGGGCCCCCCCCCCACCGCCCCAACATCCCGACTGGGAACGTTCAGTGTCACCGGGGTCAGAAGCCTGGAACTCCCTCCCTAACAGGGGCACTGTGTGGGACGTCTCTACACCCTGAGGTGGGGCGGGGAATACAGCGGTTCAAGAAAATGGCTCACCACCACCTCAAGGAGGCAACTAGGGACGGGCCATAAATTCTGGCCTAACCCATGTCCCGTAAGGGCAGAAAAGAAAACAAAAGTGACTCCCGAGAGATCTCGTGTGACTCCAGACGATATGTGTGGCCTTTAAGACACAGTCTTAAAGAGACCCTTTGGCCCACCATCTGTGAGCTAGTCACCGAGCATTCACATATTCTAATTCCCATTTCCCAGCACGTAGTCTCATCTGCACTAGCATTCTAAGTGCTCTTCTGAAAACCTCCTCAAATGTCTTGGGGGGTTTCTGGTTCTCCTGACCTTACAGGCAGTGAGTTCCAGATCTCCACCACCCTCTGGGTGAAAACATCTTCCTCAAATCCCCTCTATTCCTCATCTTCCTTGCCTCAAATCTACATCCTTCTGGTTATTATTGCCTTTCGCTAAGGGGAAAGATTACTCTTCCCCCCCCCACCCCGCAGAACTTGATGTTGGGGTGCCGGTGTTGTACTGAGGTGGAGAAAGTCAGCAGTCATACAACACCAACAGGTCTAACTGAAGTCACAATAACACCTCGTTGAGGTCCTCTCCCCTCAGCCTACTAAGAAAAACAGCACCAGACTGTCCAGTCATTCCGAGTCACTATAACAGCTGCATTCCAGGCAACATTGTGGTTAATCTTCTCTGCTCTCCTCCCCCCCTCACCCTCCAGTGCGGGCACGTCCTTCCCATAGAAGCAGAGAACAGCAACTGCACACAGTCCTTCAGCTGGGGCCTGACAAGTCTTTCTACAACTCCGTCATAACCCTTATATTGGAAATCTTGCCCAATAAAAATATTGAAGTGGACCCTTGCTGACTTGCGAGACTCTCAGAGTCCTTGTGTGACCCTGTGTTCTCCCATGTAATCCCCTCCCCCCCCCCAGGTGTCAGTGCAATCACATGCCACCCATGTGACATTTGTCACCGAGCGGCGTGCGATCCTAAATGATCCTGAGGGACCGGTGATTCCACGTGACACTGGTTCCATGTGATCCACCCCCCCCCCGATGACATGCAAGACCCCGAGTGACCCCATGTCTAAGAATAAGGGGTAAGCTATTCACGGTTAGGGTCAGGAAGAATTTCTTCACTCAGACTTCTCAACTGCAGACAGCCAGTGGTGGGTGGGGGGGGGAGCTCATTAGATGTATTCAAGAGGGAGCTGGATGTGGCCCATGCGGCAGAAAGGATCAAGGAGTACGGGATGCTGAGAGTGCATGATCAAAGGGCCGAATGGCCTACTCCTGCACCCATTTTCTATGTGACCCCGAATCGCCTTTTTTAAATTCATTCAGAGAATGAGAGCGTCGCTGGCTGGCCCAGCAGCTATTGCCCAGAGGGCACTTAAGAGCAACCACATTGCTGTGGGTCTGGAGTCACGTGTAGTCCAGACCAGGCAAAAGATGGCAGATTTCCTTCCCCAGAGGACGTCCGCGAACCACAGCCTGACAATCAGCAATGGATTCATGGTCAGCATCAGAATCTCAATTCCAGTTCTTTCTATACAATACTGAATTTAAATCCCACCATGTGCTGTAGCGGTGGGCGGCCCCTTTAAGCAGCGGCGCCCCCTGGGATTTGTAGTCCAGCCCCCCCGACACACAAACTTAATCCCTGTGCACGCCGGGAACTGTAGTCCACATCCTCAGCACAAACCTCGCGGTGCACGCCGGGGGCTGTAGTCCGCCGGCCTCTCATCTCCAATGACGCGTGGAGACGAAAGAACTACAACTCCCGACGTGCCACACGCTCCACCCAGCCGATCAACGCAGGCGCAGAACCGCCCTCCCGCAATGGCGGCCGGGGAAGAGGGAGGGGAAGAGGGAGGGGAAGAGCCGCTCACCCGAGTCCGCCGCCGCCGCCGCTCCTCCGGGGCCGCGGTCGAGCGCCGCGTCTTCTTACTCCCTGAGAGGGGAGGAAAGAAAACGACATAAGGTCAGTGGAAACGATCAAAAGAAGTTAAAATTTAAAAAAGACAGTCTCCCGCGGTGACCCAGCACGCGGCCAACCGTCGCCCTCACCTCCGCGCGCCATCATGAAAAGGTCAAGCCGGCCCCACCCCCTGCCCGACGTGGCGACGGTGGCGACCTCCTGCCGTAAATTGGGGGTGGTCGCGAAACCGTCGCAGACCCTGAACGGAGTGGGCTATGAATGGCAGGGTCAATCCAGTTTATGGCAGGTTGGCCAATATTTGGTAAAAGGAGGGGCAAGGGTGCAACGTGGCCTGGGACTGGGAAAGGAATGGGGGAGCGTGCTCAACTCAGCTCCTTGCCTGGCCTGGTGTGCCGGGGAGAGGAGTTTGAGAGATGGTTCCGGCAGCTGGCATCTTTGGTTGCTATACTTGATGGGCTGAACAGTCTCTTTCTGTGCTGTTGATCTCTCTCATACTGTGATTCTCTAACTCCATGACCCTGC